GTGTGTGTGTGTGTGTGTGTGTGTGTGTGTGTGTGTGTGTGTGTGTGTGTGTTAGGGTTGGGCATAATCGTATCGTGTGCAATTAATCGTCAGAAAAACATTAATCGATTATTTTTTGGCACTTGACGATTAATACGATTAATTCCACCAGGCAGATTGACTGGAGATTTCCCCAGTCAGTCTGCTCAGTGCTCCTCTCCGCTTCAAAAATGACGAACATGAGAAAAAATTAATTTTGTAATTTATTTATCTATCAAAACAATTTAAAATTTGATGTATAGCCCGAAGTCTGTAATTTTGACACAATTTGGAACAGATTTTTATCAAGAGCAAATCTTTCCCACTAAATTGGTCATGTGACTAGGACATTAGGGTGTCCAGGGACTCCAGGGGATTAATCGTCAAATTAATCGTTATCGGCTAAATACCATAATTAATCGTGATAAATTTTTTTTTGCCAATATCGCCCAACCCTAGTGTGTGTGTGTGTGAAGTTCAGACTCAGGATTTATTTTTCCACTATCTGTCCTGCAATGTGCACTCTTAACATTTTGATTAAAAACCACCGTTTGATATTTTTTATGTTACAGGCACAAAATAGAGAACAATCATTTTTCCTTGAATGAAGTCTCAGAGCCTCGCTGCTGCTCAGTGGGTTTGCTCMTTTTCATAATACTGGTGTGTGAGCAGTAGAGATGACCTGATGAGAAGACCAGCCACTGGACCAGCGGTGTACTCTGGCATAGCTATGAAGAAGACCTACTGTACTTTAAGAACGAAACTGTGTCTTGGTAGTCCTGCACATCTCTGGTGAGCAGGAGAAAACAGCATGCCAGACGGATTATTTTCTAATGACCGATGGACTGAAAAACGCTGGACACAAAACAAAAAACAAAAACATGGTTGAAAAGAAGACCAAGTCCTCAAGTAGCTTCCTGCAGGATATCCAAGCAGGACCTGCAGCTTTTTGCGATGAGTTGATGCTCTCAAGTCATGAAAAATATAAGCTATAGTAGAGAGAGGGAATATTACATTTAAGCTAAATTACAACTTCGCAAGTAAATTGCAAATTGATTGTTTGAAGAATGAATGGAGCTAGGGTTGTATGTCATCTCTAATACTTTAAATGTCCAACAACAAAACATTTTTATTAAAAATGCTAGGAAAGGCAGTTTAACTACATAAAAGGTAGCTGTGGCTTGGCAATGTCCCATCATGTGCTGTGACTCTGATGTGTTTTGAGCTCCTTCTCTCTATATGTTCGTTTCATATTATTACTACAACTTACACAGTTTAAATCAGTTGCACAGTATGTTCGATTGTTGGCAGGCTGCTTCACACAGGGAAAGCTGTGTGTGACGTGGTTCTAAAGTACAGTGGAAAAAGGCGTACAGAGATGCAGACTGCACTGAAGTTTGGTGATGGAAAAGTTTTAAAATTTACCTTGAGAAGTGCTTGTGTTTTACTGTGGGAAGAGTATACGAACACTGAAGCTGTAAATATTTATATTATAGACCAGAACTGTGTTGTTTGTGCACAAATAAAGAAGTAAAATTAAGTACTTTATGTGGATAACATCATCTTCATAAAGACTTGACTTTAAACTATGTTAAAGTCGTTGAGACACATTTACATATTAATACCCTACAGTCCTATTCTGGTTGGTTTCGTACCCAAACACAAATATTTTAATCAAACGGACCATTGCTGACTAAGTAAAAGTGCWGAGGGTGGATTTTAACTTAATTTTTAGTGGCAGACTCAGATTCTGGAACAACCTACTGAACTGCAGAGTTGATACAATCATTTAAATCCTGCAGGAAACCTCACCAGCTTTTAATTTAAGTTTTTTTAAGATCCATCAGGTTTCTAAACTTCTTTACTTATTTTAGATTGTTTTTTGCTTATTTTGTTGTGCTTGTTTTTGTATGATTTTCCTGTTTACAAAGTAAATGTGTAGATTTTTGGTCAGTCTTGTTTTTAAATGTAATGTAGAAAGGAAA